CCCCCCCCCCCACAGTTTATTAGCGATGAGGAGGAAAGAGAAATCAAAGTTTAGTTTATAAGTGGCTGAGTTTGAGGGTCAAATCTGGACCTAAAGAAGGGAGCTGGACATTGAGTAGAGCTTTGCCATTCTGGATTCTACAATGGGACCTGGACTGTTTTCCTTGTGGGGTGAGCACTTTCCACAGTGGTAAGGAGGCAGCTGGTGGGCACCAGCCTAGCCAGGGGAAAAGTAGGAGCTGCAAGGGGTTCTGCACACTCTCCTTCCTTAGTAAACAGGGTACCCAGGCATGTGGCTGCCCAGAGGATCATATTTCCAAGCTTGCTGCAAACGACAGCCTGGTTAAATTCTTAACCATGCCCTGGGGCTAAGTGACAATGTCAATTCCAGATCTGGGGCTTTAGACCTTTGTGTTCTGTCTTCTGTGTCAGCTGGGACCTGTATGTGGTGGTAACCCTGCTTCAACTATGTATGACAGTGCCAGTGACTCAGGAGATGACAAAATAACAAGCAGGAAGGAACTGTGTTAGGACAGAAGAGATAAAGACAGGCAAAAGGGACTTGAAGAAACTCAATTTGTTTGTTTGTTTTCCTTATTTCCTCAAAACTCTGGGGCAGTGCTGGGCTCAGCTCTGCAGTGGGCCTGCTAATCCCACAAGGGAGCCTGTCCTGCAAGGTTTATTAGCCCTACATTTACTCAGTCTCCCTTAAGACTGAGGACACCAGAATAGAAGCACCTTCCAGTGATGTTCAAAGTCTCTCAAATGCCAGCTTTTGTCCGACTGCAGACCACCCTGGAGTGATGCCTCAGGAGTTTTCAAATGGGTGAAGCCTCAGATTCCAAGAAAAGCTGAGCCTTGCAAACCACTCAGAGATTGCCTCCCTGAAGCAGGAGCAGTTACCCCATGATGAGATCCACTGCTGCCCCCTCCCAGGCAGGGATAATGTGGGAATAGGAATAACACTGCCCTGAAAGCCATAAGGGTTCCACTAGAACGGTATATGACAGTTAACTGATTGTGTCAACCTGAGTAAAGAAACACCCAACTGAATTGGGTCAGCATGGTTCTGGGTGGGGCTGAAGGGATGTCCTGAAGACAGAAGACCCACCCTAGGAATGAGTGACATTAACCAATAGGATGGTGGCCTGACTGGGATAAAAAGGGAAAGAAGAAGGAAGATTTGCTTCTATTTCTTTGGAGGAGCTCCGGTCTTCACCTTCCCCTTTGACTTCCTGGCTTGCATTGGAAACACCTGTGCCCCTTAATACAGCTGGCACAGGACACTACACTGAGCCCCAGGTCTTCAACCCTTGATTGGATCCGTCAGATTGCCCACATGCACAAACACTCTTCTTGCACTCTTCCACACCTGACTCTGCCATTGCAAACCTACTTTGTAAATCCTAATGTATTTATATATCTTGCATTATATCTGCGTCTCTAGTGAGCACCGACTGAGATACTGTGGAACCAGAACTGAGATGATAATCCATCGGACCCTGGCCCACCTCAGCTGATCCTTACCGCTGGCCTCATGCTCTTATGAGCTGGCCAGTCCGAACCCTGAGAAGTTGTGATATATTATAAATATGTAGACTGTTCCTGGCACGGAGCTTCCAAAGCCATTGAAATTTCCTAAGTGACAGGAGCATCACTGGTTACTCAGTCAGGAGCTTCCTTGGATTATACCAGGCTCCATACTGATGAAGAGATGACCCTTGGGAGCCTCAGAGTGGGGCAGGCCAGGAAGGGCCAATGTGGGATTAGAGAGTGGGAATTTACCACTCTGCCCCTGCCACAATTAGGGGCAGGAGGATAGAAATTGGTGCTGAAAGCCCTCACATATTAGGTGTCAGACAATCCCACTGAGGTAGTAACAACACTCACCAGGAGGTTCAGGGAGCTTTAGAATTGGTTTGTCCAAGTGCCAGAAGAGTGGAATGCCTAGAGAGAGCCTGGAAGCTCAGCACCACTACTTTGCACCCCTATATTTTGCTTTATATATTTCTTCCATTTAGCTGTTCCCAAGTCTTCCCTTTTATAATAGAGCAGTAAATATGAGTGAAGTTTTTTTTCCCCTCTGAGTTCTCTGAGTCATTCTAGCAAATTAACCAAACTGTGGAGAACATTGTGGGAACCCTCAAATTTACAGCTGGTTAATCTGAAGTATAGGCTGTTGCTCGAACTTGAGACTTGTACCTGAGATGGGAGCAAACTTATAGGACAGAGCCTTAACCTGTCCCATGTGTGGTTCACATTAACTCTGGATAGCTAACGTCCAAAGTGGCCTGAGCTTTTCCATGCCTAGCTGGTATCAAAGAACTGGAAAATTGGTGCCGAAAGCCCTCACATATTAGGTGTCAGACAATCCCACTGAGGCTCCAGCCTGCAGAGATTGTGAGGTAAGCAGGCCTGACCCTGACACTTTGCAAGAGCACCCAGGCTTTACCTTTGCACCCACCTGTCACAATGGTGCGGTAACTTTGGGCAAGAAAGTCCAGGTTGACACAGTGTCAACCTAACATGTTAAAGTGGATTTTTTTTCCAACCTCAAAAGATGGGCTGAGGAAAATAAATGCAACTGATTGCAGATTCTACTCAGAGGAGGCTGACTCTCCATCCTGGCACTGTGACCCCAGCACAGCATCCTATCTCTGTTCTCTAAGAGAGGAAGAGATATCTCTCAGGTACCCAGAGAGCTGCCAGGGGCCATGTGTTTCCTGCCCTTTCCTTCTCTCCCTCCTGCCCCAACTCCACTGAAAGTTACAGGAGGAAAGATGACAGGATTAGGTTTCTGCATGGAAAAGTGTTAAATTGAATGAGAAACTGCAATTTTGATTTAGATCGGGTGAGACCTTTTATAACTAAGAATGAGATTATCTGTTGGTATTTCTGAAGCACTTACAAAAAAACAAAGGATCTGCCTGAGTTATTATCCAGGGCAAAAGAGAGATACCTAACAGCACACTGAAAAACCAATAGAGAAGGGCTGGAGGTGTAATTCAGTGGAACAACACATGCCTAGCACGTGCAAAGCTTTGGGTGCACCCTCTTACCCTACAAAGAAAACGCAGAAAGCAGCTCCATCTGCTTGTATCTACCACATACAGCTCATTCAACACGCGAGCAGGGCCAGGTCTGGGTGGTAATGCCCATGCACCTCTCCATCATGCTCAGTTAAGAACCACACAGAGTACCTGCCACTATGCTCACTCTCACCGCAATGAGATGTGGCAACCACAGCAACCAAAAAACCCTGAGGAACTCTGTTTTTCCCTCTCAGGGTCACAGTTTTTCTCTCTTCAAGGCCACATAAATTAGACGAAGCCCTTAAACAGACAGAGCACCAAAGGCTCAGGACTTAAAGTAAGACCCTGGTGACCTGGAATACTGAAAGATATACTTTGCAAAGCTACCTTCTTGTTTGAACTGCCAAACTCCAGGCTTCTCTTTTATGTGAGATATCAACTTAATTCTGATTTCTACCTAATCCTTTCTAATACACTATCTGTAAAACATTAAACATGCCTCCAAATAAAGACAGACAAGTCTAAAAAAATGGGCAAAGGGGAGCAAGTGGTTCATGTAAGAAAAGTTCGTAAGTGTACAAGAAAACGTACAGGACCCAGCTTCACAGTAACCCCCAGGAATGTAAATTTAAAAGTTAGATGCTATTTCTTAGTTACCAGGCTGGCAAAAATTTTGAACATGAGTTCTGTCTAGTTGGAAAGAATCCAGAGAAATAGACACTCTCATTCATCACTGCTGGAAATTTAACTTGGAAAAGTATTTTTAGATGATGGTTTGGAAAAGGGTATGAAAATCTAAAATGCAATTGCTCATGTGGGTGTACACCTGTGTGTATGTGTTAGAAGGCTAGAAAAAGACCTGGGAGAATATATAACTAACCAAATAGCATTTCCACTTCTAAAGAGAAGAGAGGTAGTGGCTGAAAGCAGAGTATTAGGTATTAGCGGACTCACATTTTTAGCAGGACTCAATTGTTTTGGTTTTTATTTTTTTTTAAACTGGTACCAGGGATCGAATTCACGACCGCCTGCTCACAAGGCAGGTGCTTATGCCGCTGAGCTAAATCCCCAGCCCCTGTTTTTGTTTTGTTTTTTATGATGATGGGGGTTAAACTCTATTTGAGGCCTTCCCTTTGAGCTATGTCCCCAGTCTTTAATATTTTTAAATTTTGAGGCAGGGTCTCGCTAAGTCATAAAGTTGCTAAGGCTGGGCCTGAATTGGTCATCCTCCTTCCCAGCCTTCCTGAGTACTTGGACCACAGCTATGCATAACCATGTTAGGCTACCCATACATTTGGGAGGCAAAGACAGGATGACAGGATGACTCAAGCTCAACCTAGACCCTACAATGAGATCCTAACTCAAAAAATTTATGCACATATATTATTTTTGTAATCAAAATTTTAAATGAATATATTTTTTGAAGAGTAAAGAGATACAAAATATCTTATTATTTCCCTTAAAACAGATGCATCAGGTATTGAGCAGGCATAGCCTCAAATTCAAATAAATATTGGTGACTGAACTCTATCTTAATCTAGGTAGGAAGTACAGGACTTCATAATTCCATAAAGAGCACTTTCTTAATTGGCAAGATCATAGGTATAGAGTGATGTTTTATATCCCTGGGCATTACTGAGCAAGGGTTATTTTTAGTAATTAAACATTAAAAAGTGATCTTAGGTGCAGTATTCTGAAGTAGAGTTTAGAGAGGTTTACTCATTTTTTTAATAAAAATAATGAATTCTATTATTAGGTTTATTTCTTCCCTTTTGGCAGAGACAGTCTACATTTTAAGCCTTTGCCAGGGGAATAACCCTCTGCCAACCCATTCTGATACATTTTCCTGTTTCAGACCAGAATTCATTAAGAAAAAAAAAAAGTAAATCTTCCAAGAAATCTCTTATTTTAAACTCTCAAAATTGTAAGCAAAAAGCAGGTCATTTAAAATGTAAGGAAACATTCTTACTTGGTCCTCAAAAGACAGAGCCTGGGCAACATCTCGTGGAAATCCATCAATAACAATTCCTTCCTCATCGGGTATTTGCATCAATTTTTGTTTTATCTCCGTAATCGTTGTTTCCTTTTACAAACAGAAAAGATGGGAAACCACTGTTAAAATCAGTACCCTGGTAACCAGTGCCCACATTTTTGTAGGAAAGCCGTAAATCAGGCAGCAGTACCTGCGGCGCCAGCTCTCCGTTCGTAATGATCTTGGCAATGAGGCTCCACTTTCGGTTGCTGCTGGCGCTGTGGATTTTCTTTCTCAATAATTCTCCCACTGAAATGTACTGGAATCCATAGCGTTCCGCGATTTTCAGACTTTGAGTACCTTTTCCACTTCCGGGACCCCCTATTGGTCAAAACAGAAAACCCTGAAACCTTGATCCTCAGTTGCAGTGAGGAGCTCCTCTTAGACTCGACTACTGGCCTCTGAGATGGAGATTCTAGATCACCAGGACCAGGTCGGGCAGATGTGGGTTTGTGAAGCTCTCAGGGCTGCTCTGCAGCAAGAAAAGACTGAGAGCCACGGAAAGGACAGAACTGCCTTGACCAACCGTATGAAGAGAAAAACCAAACAAAAATAATTTTTCACCACCTGTCTCAGTAAAGAAGTGATTGGGCTGGGACGGAGCTCAGCAGACCACCTAGTTAGCACCCGCAAGGCCCTAAGTTGAAGTCCGAGCACCACGCGTGCGCATGCGAGCAGACACGCACAAGCACACACTGGCATGCATGCGCACAGAGCTAATTTAAAAATCGGGGGGTGGGGTGGGTTGACATCAGGATGCAGCTCATGGTAGAGCACTACCTAGCATGTGTGAGGCCCTGGTTCATTCTCTGGTATCCAAAAACTTAAAAAAAAAAATACAATTGAAAGAAACCCTGACATTTTTCTATGTAAAATCTATGCTTCTCCCTCTGTAATCAAAAGAAAAATCTATGGGTTACAAAAGACAGTGAGCAGATTAGCAGAAATGTGTATTATGCCAAAGAGTGCTTAATGTGTAATCTGGTGAAATGTAACCTTTTTTTTTTTTTTTTTTAAATCAAAGGCACACCAATAGTGACACAGCTTATTTAAATCAGTTTATTTTGAAATCTGTTTACTTGTGAATGTTCTTGCCTATCTCCTTTGAATTCAAAAGTTTTATGCAATGAATGTGCAGAGTGAATGGGATAGGTCTTCCAGGTAGAAAAATTTCATGTAACTAATAACTTTGAGTGTGTGATATATTAGTGTGAAATAATTACCACTTGGCCCCATAACACTAATCATCAGCAATTACCATTTACTTTTTAAAAACATGAAAAATCAAAACATTAAGACACATCTTAGATTTTATTTTTAAATTATATTAGAATAATTTTAGTTATTTATATTTCCAAACAACAGAATCTAGAGTCATAAGTTTTGAAATGAAATATGTAACAATCAGCCCAGTGTGTAGTTATTTGGTAGTGAACTCAACTTTTTTTCAAGATGTAAGCATGTTACTGAATGTAAGCAAATGTTTTAAAAATTTAGTGTCCAATAAGTAATGAAATGTTTTCATAATATTCACGGAAACATAGGATTATAATTTATTAGGCAACACTGAAAATAAAAATCAATGCAAAAATGAGTGGTTAATTTTCCTAGTAATATGAAAAGTTTCCAGTGAAGTCATTTTATATCTAATTTATTTATTTATTTATTTATTACTGTGGGTCAAACTCACAACTTTATGTTTGCCAGGCAGGCGCTTATGCTGCTGAGCTAAATCCCCAGCCCTTTGTATCTAATATAACTAATAATTTGTAGAGTTTCAAATATTTTAAGTTAAGGAGAAAGGTCTATTTTTTAAAAGAAAAGTTCAGAGTGCATAGATTTGGTTAGCAGAATTCCCAGATAACTAATATAAGTAGAACAATTTCTGAACCCAATTCTAAACAATGAACTAAATAATATCTAGTTTTCACTTTTTATTGCTTTAATAAACTTAGTAAAAGACTTGCTTACATTTTTGACCATGTTCTTTCTAAGAGACTACATTTTCTCCTCTTAGGCTTAACCTTATAAACTATTTTTGCTTCTCCTAGATTCAGTTCTTAACTTTGCAATTCAAAAGTCAGTTTGATTCGCAATAGCTGCTTTGAACCATTAAAATGGGCTATTAGAGGACTGGCTTGAAGAAAAATATTGTATAACCAACTCAATTGACATATTCAATCTAATTTAATACCTAAAGAATCAAAACTATCTTTCAGAATATAGTTATTTCTACACATGACCTCATGAACCATCAAACCCAAAGATTAGAAATTTCATTAAATTAAAAAATTCAAACACATTTAGAAAGTTAAGGCAGCTTCTAATTTTGTAGGCAATAACAGAAAACAAACTGAAAAAAAAAAGATTGGTGTTGGAGAACACTATGAGGCGGCTCTGAGCAGGATTTAAAATTAACTAATTGGCTAAACTAATTAACTAAAGGGCGGAGATACCTCAAAGGGCAAGATAAGGCCACAGCTGAGGACACCTTGGCTCCAGCACTAATTAAGTAGATAGAGACTGCAGCTCAAGGAATCTCACTCCTGCAGTCCACTCCTACCATAAATGTCATCATGGAGATAAGATGGTTCTCCTAAATTGGCATAATTTACTACTTGAAGAAGTCCTTGAAGTGACTCCCAAGGTCCTGCTCACTTCCCGCGCTTTCCTCAGTATCTCTGCCCTTTGTTTTGGACCTAATAAATGTGGACGGTCCAGAGAAGTCTTTGTCTTAGCCCTCAGAGCCCTCGATCTCAGCTAGAGTTTTGACCCTCCTGGATCCCTAAAATCATACCACTTGTCTCATTTATTTAAGCCTTCGTTTGGGAGACTGGGGATTTAGATTGGGGATTTGTTGCATTGATAAGAATATCACTAATTACTGAGTTCATTACAAAACTTCTTGACAAATTAATTTTACTTTCTAAGGGCAGAACAAGCTTAATATTTATTTACTTCTAATACTTAGAAATATTACTTTTATGATTACATTAACAGAAGAAATTCGTATCTGTGCCCAAATGGCTAACTTTAAACAAAATTCTGTAGTTTCAGAAGAAAAATTTTATTTAAATGTAGTATTATGTGGCATCTCTACCTGCTTCACATGTTTTTCAGGGTGCAGCTAATAAAACTTGTAAGGTTCAAGTACAATTACTATATAACTTCTCAAGTTATATAATTAATTTTCTCAGAAAACTTAAGGTTCACTCTTTCCCTTTCTGTCTTGTCCCAATCCTATAAACTTTATACTCCTTAGTTCTGGCTGATTCTTGAAATCCATGAGAGGTACATCACGGAATTCTGTAACCAGAATCACATCCTTGGGAAGCAAGTTGATCTCACTGAATGAAAAGCAGCATGAAGTAGGTGAGATCTGAAGATCTGTAACTTCTCCAAAGATTTTAGGTTACTAAAATTCTTTACTCATTTTCATATGAAATTCACAATGTACAAAAAATCGTATCTGTGTTCTTTTACATACAACAGCTTGGTAATGCACCATTTGCATGGATGATGAAGTTCCCTTTGTTCATCTCACTAACAATCACCAGCACTTTACTAACAATGCCAAGAAAATGAAACAGAGAGGCTGTATGCTGCCTATCTATAAACCATATAGTGGTGAAATAATTCCCAATCACTCTTTGCACTTAGCTCTCTTTTTCATTAAGTGTTTTCTTAAGAAAGGACCCCAGATTTTTAGGCACACCCGAAAAAGCACTCAGCTTTCTAGAGTAGATATTTATCTTATAGTAGCAACTCTTATAAGCCATAAGAATATACTGACCTTTCAAAAGTTGGCTTCTGCTCTATGTGTGTGTGATGTGGTTGCTGTTGTTGGGGATCAAACTCAGGGCTCTGTGAATACTGGGAAGGTGTTCTACCACTGAGCACCTCGAAAGCTGATTTCTAAACTTTCTTCCTGTGATACTGTTTTTAACAATTCAGGGGTTAAAAATGTTTGTAATTTCAGTTTTATTTCAACTTGAAATGTGTAAATGTCACTCTTCTAGTCTGGTCAACTTAATTTCTTGTTAACATTCATCAGGTTCACTTAATTTTTTTTCCCTAGCCATGGCATCTTTATTTCTTTGTTATCTTGGTTAATACTCAGATATTATGGGAGGTATAAAACGCTATTTTCTTGTATTTGCTTGTTTAAAAACATGGAAATTTAAATTTCATTGTGAGTACTGGTTTGCTACAGGAAGATTCATTTAAGTGAGTTCCTACCAATGTATCTATTTTGCTTTTGGTTTAAATTGAGAATAAAAACTCAATTTATTGATTTAAAGGGAAACAAAATTCACATGTTTAGCAAACATTTTTTGGACTCAATTATCTATATTAAAGAATAAATAAAACCATAGGACAATAAATCTTGAAGCAATCACTTGCAATTCATTATAAAGAATATAACATTGTAATGGAAATCTATGAAAATGCAGTGAAGATTAAATTACATTATTGTGACTTACTTTATTGAAAATTATTCTAAAAATAGTTCCATGTATTGTCTCCTGAACTTTCATTTCTATTGCTTGTCATTACCCAACTAAGCACTTGCAAATTTGGTACAATCCACATTTTTATAAATATGTAAATAAAACTAGCATTGATAGAGAATTTCTGTCCTCATACCTATGACAAGAATGATCTTTGGCCGAGGTCTAGCAGGATCGAAAACCTCATACTCCTCGATTAACTCTGCAGTCTCCGAAAGGTCTGTGTCACTCTCTATAGAAAACTGGTGGATGGGAGGGAGCCGATCATATCGCCGATATGGAAAATTTGAATTTTCAGGCATTACTGCAAAAGAGTAAGATAACTATGAAAAGGAAAAAAAGCATGATAAAACATCTTCCACATTTAATCAATTAGGATATGAAGTTTAAATGAGTTTGATTTGTTATTTCAAATGGCAGAAGTCTTCTTAAACGGTCAGCAAATTTTTTCCTCAAGAGTCAGACAGACAATATTTTAGGGTCTAAGAGTCACAGTCTTATATTCAAGTCAGTCATGGTAGCATAAATTCAGCCACAGACAATCCATAAACAGAGGAACATGCTTGTGTCCCAATAAAACTTTGTTAAAACAGACAGTGAGCTGGACTTGGCCACCTCTTGCACTAACGAAACCTTCTCAAGACATTTCCTAGTGTTGTTTGGTAGACTGTGTACTCCCCGATCTCTGAAAATGGTGCTCCCTCGAGTTGTACAGTACATAACTTTCACAACCACATACAGCTGCCTCTGCAGTCATCACTCATCCATTCACTCACAATGGTCCAGGACCAGCAGAATGGTTTGGTGGTATATGAAGAAACAAAAAGTTAGAATACTGTCATAAGCTAGGTTAGAAGGGTGCAAATAATTTCTACATTTGGAACGTATTTCAACATTACTTACTTTTACTTTCCTAATACTGACTTTAACTTACTTGATTTAGAAATATGAAGGTTTAAATTTAAGTCTATAATGGCAATAAATATTTGCCGTATTTCCAGGTATGTTAATGTGTTCCGGGTGATTCAGGAGAAGAGTAAGATGTAGTTCTGTCTCTTGCGGTCTTTTAGGGTAAAGCTTATATCTGACATCTGCATGCACAGCAGGCAGGAGAAGTGTAAGAATGAAAATCTCTCATGGTGAACACCACACAAGATCAAAGAATGGCTGAATTCATTAGGGTTGGTGGTAGGAAAGGATTTGCAAGAGGCAGGACCAGAACTTTGAAAGACAACACAAATAATGAAATGTAGAACATATGTCCCAGTTGGCAGGCCTGATACCAAGACACAGGGCCTGACACACACATGACATAGTCAAATCACCAGAAGAAAGACCTGACAAGCCCAAATCAGGCATCTAGACGATGTCCAACTATTGTGATTATGGTTCATGGCTCCTGCACCCCACAGGTCAGAGTCTTGGAAGGCACAGGGAAACCGTAAGTATCCAAAGAGCACTTAACAAGTGGGATGCCACTTGGCCTCGTATGAGGGTCTCTGTTAAAGTAGCTACTGACTCTAAGCATGACACAGTTCTGGAATCTCCTCCTACGGGTGTCTACTGGTTACAACTTTCCATTCTCTATTAATAAAATAAATGAGGCCATTGGCCACTGACTTATTAGACTCATTTTAATTTCATAAAAAGAGTTGAGTAATCTGCAGACAATAACGAACAGTCTCTAGAATACGATGGGAAAGGCTGGGCAGGGAAGGTACTAACAAAATCTCTGGCTCTGCCTTGAAATTTAATTACTTCACTCAACATAAGGCAGAACCCTAAGAATTGTCCTTAATTACCTTCTTCATTCACTTATCGTGTCTACTCCTATAGACTTTATCACTCAGACATATTCTGAAAGTACACACCTTCCTCTCCATCTCCACTTCTACATCCTTTTGTCAAGATGACATCACCTTTTATCTGGATTACTGTAACAATCGCTTCACTGGCTTGCTTACTTTTGTATTTGTCCACATAATCCACTGTCTAAAATGCTCTTGGTCCATGCCTGACTGCTTTTTGTCAGTTGCACCTCAGCTTCAATGTCTCTTTCTATAGGGGACCTTTCTGACTTTCTAATCCTGTATAGCCATCTCTCAAGTCTCAAGAACATCACTCTAACCTGAGAGTTTCATTCATTCATTCATTCAACTATGCACACATTCATTGTCTTCTCCTAGATCATAAGTCCCACAAGCGAGGAATTTTACCTATCCTTTGGGATTCTGAACCTTGGCATCTAGTGCTATGTTTGGCAGATGACCAGTGCCCAGTAAATATCTGCTAATTAATAACAAAGAGAACACTTTGATAAAAAAAGATAGTTTTCCATAAAGAAAATTCAGAGGATAAGACAGGTAAGTAGAATGTGGTCACAAAACCTTGAACCAGCAGACTAAAATGTTTAGCTTCAATTGGATGAAATTCAATGCAGGTTTTTCGGGGGGAGTTAGAGACTGATAGGACGAAATAGATTTCTCAAGATAATTAATCTGATGGAGGTTAGAATGGATGACAGTAGGGAACGACTAGGAGCAGAAAGTAGCCACTAGAAGGCTGTTAAAGTGACCCACGGAGCAAGGAGGGCTTGGGCTGTGGTAGTATCTGGGAAACAGAAAATGAATGGCTAGATTTGAAGAACACAACCCAGGTTGGAATACAAGAAATGAAAGGAAATGACAGTTCAAAGACAATTTCCAGGTTTCCTGCCTAAAAGAGTTAGGAACACCCTAGGCTTTATATAGCATCTTTCTGACCTTCCTTTCCTGTTGGAGAAATACTGGGTTTCTCTCATTCCTGACTACAGCACATCCTTCCTCTATGGTAAGAACTTCTGTTCTCTGTTCCTTGGTACATTTGCAATCCTCCCCACCTTTCTTTAGTTGACACAAACTCCACTTTCTGTTTCCACATACTAGCCTATCACTTTTTCTAAGATGCCTAACCTGCACCCCTGCCTAGGTTGGATCCAGCCACTGGTTAATCTGGTCAGTCCCATAACACATGCTATTTCCCACAGTATTACTCATTAATTTTTAATACCTGATTTCATGGCTAAACTGTAAGCTCCCTGAAGGTACTGTCAATTCTTGATGACTACCATGTCCATCCCAAAAGAATATCTAGCATACACTCAATAAATGGTTATTTTATTGCCCAGTGGACTCAGTGACTCAGGAAAAGGAGAAGTGTTGGTAACACAGTAATATCTGAGATGTGTGAGTTCTCTAGAATCATCTTAAGTTATTTAGCAGGACTTAAAGCATATATTTGACACTGAGCCAGATTCTAGCAGCTTGATACCTTGGTGGGGAGGGGTGAGTTAGCCATTTGGAGAAGGTTTATGAATTGCTAGAGCACACTAAAATACTTTGTTCACCCCAAAGCATGTATATACTAAGAAGTGTGCTGCAGCAGTAACGGTCTAAAATTACTCTGGAGACTGCAGGCCACAGAGGTGCCAAATCCAAGCCATGTATATGCAATTTGGACTGGATCCCTAAACTGCGGTTCCGTTCCCTTGCTACTCTGTGTATCTGAGGCTGCTCTCAGAAACCTTGCTGACTTGCAGAGAGTGAATCTTTCAGCTTGGAACTGACATCCTGTTATTAGCTAGAAACTGGGTCTATGGAAGAGTAAAAATCTCTTTAGCATTGGATGGTTCTGTGAGTCAAATCAAAATATTCGATGCTAATTCAATTTTACCAGAATATGGAGACATGATCTCCACCTTAGGACTTACCACAGAGTGTAATGACATGACTTATTATTTACAAGTGATGCTTTCCAACCTGTCTAAGATGAGTCTGAGCAAGAGACCTTGTAGAGCAACAAGGTCAAATGCGTTCGACGACCTGGGCTGTTAACCGTATTACCTTACAGGCACATCAAATATTTTCCGATTTTTTTTTTCAGGAGGCAGGTGGTATCCCTTAGAACATTTGAAAGTTTCTTAAAAAGCAATTCCAAATATCTCAGTGCTTCTCAACAACACTGGGGAATTTGGTGGTGGTGGTACTAGATGATAGCATCTTCAGTAAAACTTAAGAGTACCCAATCCTAAGTCACCAGTACTGACTCCTGCCTGGCAGGGACAGACTCTCCTCCCTGTCAGAGTTGTTTCTAAGGGAACAGTATTTCTACTTTCTTTCTGTTTGTGCTTCTTAAACATTAGCATATCATGACTCTTTCCCACACCACATTCAAGTAAAATCTAAATTGATCACGACTGAATAAGGTTAAACGGACTTAGGATTTGTCTCCTTCCTGGATTTATCTCAAATGGAACTGTCTCCAACCCACGTTTTGTTGATAGAGCTGAAACTTTCTGAGGTGGTATAAGAGAAGGGTTTAAGTTTCTAAAATGGAATGAGCTTGGCCACTGAAAAAGAATGGATTTAGTTTTCCCTGACTGCATCTGATTCTACATTTTACATACCATTACACTTCACAACTACATCTAGAGCCTGAAAGATCGGTTAGCTCAAGGTGAGCCCATAATTTCAATAAACACATATTTCAGAAAAAAAATTAGAACAGCATGAATCTTCTCCAGTTGTTCTAAAAGTCTTCCTAAAATTTAAACAAGTTCATTTCTTTTATAGCACCCCATTGCCTAATCTATCATAGTCAAGAGCTGCTTAATAAATCTTTGAAAATTAGCTAGTGTATACTTTATATGCATTTATGCAGACTTATTAATATGAATTTTGGGCTTGGACACATTAATAACAGGAATCTCTAGCTAATGAAAACTGTTGAATTGTTATGTAATAGTTATCAATTTTATCTGGGCTCTACTCATGTATTTGGAAAAGCCGATTTGCAATTTAAAAGTAAATTCAAGGTTGTTAATGTAATTCATTTCACAAAATAATGAAGTCAGTAATATAAAATTTCATTAAGTCTTTAGCAAACTGCCAGACAATGGTACATAATTTTGTTTGTCTTATGGAGGTGATTAGAATGAGTAGCAGAAAGAGATTAATCATAGTCCAAGGACTCATAATTTCCCATTTATAACCCTAATAAATTAAATCACAGTCTGTAGCCTCCGTGGTGTGTTTTAAAGAGAACTCCTCTGCCTAGAAGCCTATCATTCTGTATATACATTACCATTTCTCAGAAAGGATCTCCGTGACTGCCCCCCATTTAGTGGCGGTAAGGTCTTCTTTTCCTGGCTGACAAATGTGTCCCACTTCACCTTGTCACAGCCACCTAGTTCCTTTACTTTCTGTAAACAACTTTCCAAGTACTCCACTGGATCTTCAGGTTTAGAACACATCAGTCCATTCAAAAGGCTCTGAAATACAACAAAACATGCACAAGTGAAATATGTTTTTAAAACTGTCTTTGCTTAAAAACTGTTATGTCCCATCTCTGAATTCGGGGTTGTTTTTGTCCTATGCACAAACAATTAGAGTCAAAATTATGATCCAATAGAGTATTACGATGACCCTTACATTCTAGATCAGTTAGTCTGCAGCTTGGCATTTTCTGGCTTTTGAACAATTCAGGAAAACTATGCAGTCTAAAATAGAAGACACTGATCCAAGTAAAATAAAGTGTACATGTGAAAATGCACCTAGTCATTATTTATCTCAATCTTGTGCAACCCTAAGCTCTCTAAGCTCCAGTTTTTTTCTGAAAAATGGGGATGACTGTATCTACCTTATAAAGGTTTTAAAGTCTTTCAATGTGTTATTTGAAGAGTACATGTAAGTGACTTGCATGTACTCAACAAATGTTGTTGGTTCCAGTTAGTGCAATTAAGCTTGATTGCGTCCATCTCATTGTATTAGGAGCCACCCAGGGGATTGGTGGAGCACACTTGCGGGTGTGTGTGGGTGGGCCATGGAGGTGTGACTGTGGGTACCATATATGATCCTGTTCCTTCTTCTCTGGCACTGTATCCCTCTTCTATTTCCAAGCTTCCTAAGCAGCTTTGCTTTGCTCTACCATGTTTTTCTACAGTGTTTTTGCCTTGGAGTCAGCTTACCATGGACTGAATTCCTTGAAACTGTGAGCCAAATAAATCTCTCCTACTTTAAATTGTGGGCATCAGGTAATGTATTTAGCAACAGGAAAGCTGACTAATCCATAACTATTGTCATCATTATTATTATCATGAATCTTCTCCTGTACCCCTATGTTGACCTGTGAACCCACTCTTCTGGGTTCCCCTCACACCCAACATGAAATATCACACTTGTCATTTACACTTAATCCACTGGTTTTTGAGTTAGTCTCCTCATCTAAACTGTAAATGGTGAACTCTCCAGCAATACAGAGTGGGTCTCACTCATTTTTTATTCCGTATGGGTCTGGCATGCGGCAGGACCACATTAACCATTTTCTCTCTCAATAAATCACTCAAAACTGAAGTCAAGTCAGAATAAAAGCCCCTGAAATTTATACATATTAGACATGTAGTCAGTTACCACAATACCTAATGACATTACAGGGCGAGAGAGACAGAGATAGAGACAAAGACAGACAGAGACACAGAAAAAGAATATGAACTACCCAGCTTTATATTGTCTATTTATGGTGTTCAATTAGTCATACACAATAGTTTCTAAAAATGCTACAAGTTTGGAAAGTCTGACTCCTGGGAATTGACTGATGTGTAAAACATTTCCCTTTAGAATTTTTTTTGTGCAAAAATCATAGAGGTTTATTATCACCAATATATATTTTATTTATTCACTTATTTTTTTGTTTTGAGTCTTGTTACGTAGCCCAGACTGGACTTTAATTCTCTATGTAGTCCAGGGTAGCCTCGAATTTGTAACAATTCATGCCTCAGCCTCCCAAGTGCTGGGATTACTAGGCATATGCCACCATATCTAGCTAGCAATATATATTTTCAGTGTGCAAAACACATCCTTTCAAGAGATGGACATCTTTCCTAAATACAGTATTTTATTTTCAAATCATTCTTGTACAACTTGCCCAAAATGGCAGGCAGTTCTTAACAGGCATAGCTGTTTTCCAAAACTCTAACTAGAGTGTGTAACTCTCTCAGACCAGTTTTCTTGCTTAGGGAACAGAACACACTCAGCTGGACATCAGCATCCAGTTTGTGCTGAGATCTGTGCCGTCCATAGGCACAGCACAGGGCAGCTTCCCAGGATCCTCCTCCACACTGAGCAGAAATAGCCACACCACTCTATGGAGACCTTTCTGTCTTCCACGCATGTATCAGCTCACCCTGTGCACTCCTCGTTCTGGGCAGCATTATTATCTCCATTTTAAATATTAGAGAGCCGTGGCTCAGCGATGCTAATGACTTGCTCAAGGTAGCTTGGCTAGAGATGCCTAGGCTCAGGTTTCCAACTTAGCCCCTGATTCCCAAACCCATGTGTTATTAACCTCTGCATATTTTGTAAAATATGATGGATAAAAGAAAACACTGGATTGTCTAGGGCTCATTCAAAATTCAACTAGATATGAATGCGAACTAAATCCTTGACTTTTGCCTTTTACTAATGCCTAAAAAGGGTGAATGTGCTCAATGGAAGCTTATCTGACTGGGTAATGTACATTTTCAGCCTCCCTACATAAGACTGACTCCTGAAAAGGCACTGATTTTACCAAAAGACAATGAGTCCCACTTCTTTGTAGATAGTTAAGATCCCTTCTTCTAATAGCTAGTCACTATCAGAAATTGAAGGTAACTAGCAGACATCACTACTCAGTCTCTCAGTTAGTTCTTTGAGAATTTGAATAACCTAAATCTGACTTTCCACAGTATTAACTGCCAAATCACAGTTTCAAGGTATATGATCAATATATTCATTATCAGGTTACCTAGAATGAGGAATGCATAAAAAATTCAGGAGAAAGTGATTTTGAAGAAAAAAAACTTTAAACAGAAAGCTCTTCAAATATGAAGGTACTTGGGATATCCCAGATTATAATGCGTCTATGTGCTACCTCAAATCAGTAAAAAAAAAAATCTACAAAGGTCACTTCGTTATATCTGATTGTTTGCGGATAGCAAATTCAGTAATCAATTCTTGGTCTTCTAATGGTGTCTAGCAGCCACAGCTAGGGGCAATATTTAGGAGATCAATAGATATCTAATTGTTAAACTTCACATACTCAAAGTGTTGCAGTTTTGATGGAAAAAAATTCATTTTAGAAACCTAGGGTATTTGGTGTTGCCATGTACACTCATCGCATGGAAAACTGCCTTCTCTTGCAGCACAGATTCATTTTGCTGGAAGGATGGAGCCTTTGAGATCATCACCTCCATCTTCCTGTTGTCCAGGATTGAATCTAAGTACTCTGACTGGTCTCACACGGCCGCCCGCTCCCTTTTCTTGGATTTCACTATTTAAAAACATTCCATACTCATGCAGGAAAGCCAATGGGAAGAGAAGGCCTGAGGAGAAACGCCTGCTGTCACCTGTTTGCACACACAGAGTAGATGTTCATGCACAAACTCTCCTTATTCTCTATGGTTACCATCCACCACTGTGGAGGCAGAAACAGTATCCACCGTTGCAAAGAATGAAGACTATTTATAAATACAGTCGTCTGCAATCTGGTGGTCTCCTACAGATGTTTCTAGTTATTCTTTTAGAAATGTAGAAATGAAAATGAACTCCATAGTAAAATTAGTGACAAAGACCCTTCAACTTGTCATCTCCTTACTTTTTGAAAATTAAAAAACAAAACTCATGACTATCACACACTCTAAGATCTATCTTTATGCAACACCACTTGATTACTGTCACGCAGGGGTGACACACTTGCTGGATTTGGGCTTTGCACCACCACCTTGAGCTTAGTGGGTGGCTTCAGATGTCTTGAAATCAGCGGCAAAGGACTCCAATTTAAAAGATAGTTTGGGGGAGGGGAAATGGGGCAAATTATTTTTCCAAGTGGTCTTTTAAAATTCCTTTTAATTAACACGATAACTTGTTTACCATATCCATGAATCATTTTTGACCCCTGGGAGATCAGGTTTGCAGAGAATGGAGATCCGCTTTCGGGCTCGCTCTACCAAGCCTGTCTGCTTCCGTTCTTTTCTGTTCTGTTTTGTTTTTTAACCCAAGCATCATAGTTTTAGATTTAGGAATGTCTTTTTAAGACTGAGATAACAAGAGAAGGAAAGGAGGTAGGTGGATCCGAGACTGAGGGTGCGGCTCAGAACTGAGCTCCCCGGAGCTCTTTCCAAGCCTCTTCCCTCGTTTTCAGAGTGCCCCCGCCTCGTGGTCCCCGTGCTCCGGGCTCTGCTGGGGTCTGTGGCCGGCAATAGGAATCGCGCGCGCTTGGCCGCCGCCCCTGCCCGCCGCGTGCAGGTGGGTCGGGGCGCCGGAGCAGCTGCAGCCCCAAGCGGGCGGCCGACGCGGAGACCCCCGCGGCGCCTGGGAAACGGGCTCTGGGTGCCTTCACCGATCGCGCTCGGCACCCGGGCTCGTCGCCGGGAGGCAGCGCTGCGCGTGAAGGGCTGGGATTTGTTTTCTGCATCTTCATCTCTCTCCTCCGAGCGCCCCCCACCTGGGGCTGCTTTCCTCCACACCCCCTTCCCTGCAGGAGCCCCGACCTCTGGCGCCCAGAGGACCTGGGCTCAGGACTCCTAATTACGTGTCCTTGACCCACGCCCGGCCACCGTGCGCTCCCCTGGCCTGACCCTTGCTCCCGCGAGCGCGGCCAGGCCGATGCCTGCAACTCACCCGGGGGCCGCTACTGAGGGGTGCGCGGGGCCACCCTGCCCCCGGAACCCGCTCTGAGGAGGGAAACTTGATCTGTGGGGTGCGGGCTTCTGACCCGGCCATCGGCCAAGGACCCGGCAACCGCGGGAAAGGCGATCCTCGGCGAGTGCCCCATTTCCACGCCCCGCACCAGGAAGGCAGGACGGGGCGCAACTGCTCGCCCCAACCCCGGGGAGCCCGCCCCGGCCCTCTGCTCCCCCTCCGGCCCCTTACCTCGAACAGCTGAGGGATTTCCCTGCGGGCCAGGTACTCCTTGGCATCGCTGGTGTTCATGTCTGCGCCGCGCGTGCCCCGGGGCGGTGGCGGGGAGGCTCTGGGCTGCGGCGCCCCGGGCTGGGCTGGGCTGGGGCCGGCGGGGTCCACGGTGCAGCCGCGGCTCCCGAGCGCGAGCCGCTGTGGTGTCCGCGCTGCCGTCGCCCCCGCTCCTGTTATTGGTCCCGCGCCCGAGCTGCGGGCTTGGAGCAGCGGCGCCGCGCTTCTCGGGCTCCCGGCCAGTGGCGGAGGGAGCGGAGGAGGGAGGACGGTGCGACGACGCCGGGCACCAGCCGCCCGCCGCCCGCTCTGCCCGGCCTCGTGGAGCTCTGTCTGCAGCGGCGGCCGGTCACGCTGCGCGGGCGGCGTGGGGCGCCGGTGGGGACGCGCGCGGGGCTCGCAGTCACGCCCCACCCTCCGCGCGCTCCGCCACTCTGCGCGCGCTCCGGGGAATGGGACTCAGTCCCCCAGGGACGAGCGGGCCAAGGGAACTGGGGTGGGGGTGGAGGGGCTCTTGGAATCTGAGATGTGTTTGTTTCTCCAGATCTTGTACACACACACACACACACACACACACACACACACACCAGGTATTCTGAGTTCCTAAGGAGCTCCAGGGAAACAAACTAATAGGCGAAGAATACATCATTTATTCACAAGACAAATGATCATCCAGTGATAGGGAACTGGGGGCACCAGAGAAAGGGAATTCCTGGTTTAGCATTTATTCCCTAAGATAATTTTTACATTCTGAGTATTTCTTTTCTTCTGAAAGGTTTGGCAACTGGCTTCAAATTTTTTCTCTGGCAGTGTTACAGATTCTTACACAGCTCACTGTAAGGCCTTAGGGTACTCCTGAACTCAGCTAGAACAGAAGGATCGGTCAGTGGTCAGTTAATGGATTGTTTCCACCCAGAATGGGAAGAGGTGGAGGGGCAGGGGTGCTGCTGGTGGGCTGGAGATCACTTGATAGGAAAGTTCAGTAAGTGGAAGAGAACTGGGCCTCGCTGATTAGATTCAGGAAAGTGGCCCTTGGGTCACCAGGGTCCTCCTCCGCCTGGGACCGCCTGAGGAAGCATTGGTGGGCATAAGGCCTGTGGGGCAATGGGTCTTATTTCTCCTCCCAGCTCCTAACATGACTCATTTCCCTGTTAAGGTAACTTCCCTTGCCTATGGGGAGATGAGATGGTCCATGCCCCCATGTATTATAAGATCTCTAACTGCATGCAAGTCCTGCCACTGTGGGAGGGTGTGAGAGAGGAGAGGAGGCTCTGCCAGCTTGCTCTGGGGTCTGGTGAAAGAGAAAGTCGAGCTGCACTGCAACAGCTTGAAACACCAGCGTCTGAATGTCAATTCCAAGTTTGTCCTTGCTGAGCTTTCCTTGGTTTTATTTCTTGTTGCACCACCAACTGCTACTCAAGCTTGACCATAGCCACAGTTTTATTTTACCTAGGAGAAGGAACACAAGAACTAATTAGCCGAATTTTGCAAAGTAAATGAAAGTTTTTTGAACAGTTGTGAAACTAGGTGTCATAAGCTTGTGTTCTGCAGAAGCCTCAAATGAGGCAGGTAGTTCAATTTTGTGGAAACTGGTGTCTGGCCTTAGAATATGCCACCTTATTTACAGCCCAGCTTTCGTCTCTTGACCTTAAGAGCCAGGCTACTGAAGAAGTGACAGGGACCTTTCCCTAGGTGACTATGCCTGAAAAGTCCCAGGGTCTGAGGTGTAAAGGTTAGCAAGCAGGAGCAGTGGAGGCCAAGCCCATAAGGCTGGCGAGACCACTTCCTGGAGGACTTTGCAAGGTCTTCCTTTCCAGAGAAGAACCTGGCAGACCACAGTTCTCATCTCTGCTCCTGTTCTGGCCATTGAATGGATATATGATTGGTTTTACTGTATCCCAGGGTGGAGACACAGGAAAGAGGTAAGATTTCATAATTACTTTCTCAAAGGGAGTGTGGCCTCTGAGGGAAAAGCTTTCTGTGCAAAGTACAGTGCTTAAAAGCTAGGATGAGGATTTGGAATAGAGGAAAGGGTAGTGACAAGAAACCTTAAGTGCATCCCCCCAGTGAGAGAGCTGACGCCTCATCCTCTCTGAAGACATTCTCTGGGGTAGGTGTGTAAAGGACTCACGGCCCTTTCTGCTCTGTTTATTTGACGAGACTTCCCTGCAAATTTGAAAATTTGAGTTGATGATTCCAGATCTGTTCCTGTTTCTTAAAAATGAGCTTTCTCTGCTTTTTCCCACAAGACATCCACGTAAAAATGAGGCAAGTCACGGCTGACCTTAGTTTAACAGAGATCCACTTCCACCTCACATTTATTGTGAATAGAATTGTCTCTCCATCGAACTCTGTCTGGGATAGTTAGTATTTTTGTTGTACAATTTTTGAAAATGGTTTAAGTGGTGAAAATATAATGATCTTGGCCAGTAAAAAAGAATTAACTAAAAAAGTCCTTTTCAATTTTAATTTTTTATTTGTGCATATTTGCAGTATGTGACAATTACATTGCCCATGGGCAGTTGGCACACAGACATGACACACTTTTTTCTTCCACTCCTTTTCCCTCCTCTTCCTCTCATCATCTCTCTGTCCCCTTCCTATTTGCAAAAAGACCTACCTCCCTGCTTCCTAGTATGTCTTTTATGGTGCTCTTTATTTCTATTTTGGGTTTCTCAGGTAAGAGGAACCATGTGCTGTGTAAGCTTGTGTGTCTGATTTATTTTGCCTGGCATTTGGGTCTCAGGTGCCTCTGAGCACACTTTGGGAGAGGGTGCTGGTTTCTGAAGAGTGACTGTAACACAGACAGACATGTCTTGTGCAGCCTCTATTCTCCAAAGTGCACAGGTAGGCAATAACCTAAACAGTCTGTGCTAAGCCAAAAAACTGGGAGAAAAAGAACAAGCTGTGTCAGGCGGTGCTAAGTGTGAGGATGAAACTCACAGGGAAGTCTTGATTTAAAGCAAGGGGCAGAGGGCCCAGGCTGTTTTGAGGGAGTAGCAGGGGAAGCAGGGGTCAGGCTGACCACTGGGGTGCTGATGATGGTTTTCAAAGGGCCAGACGTCCTTGGGGAGGAGGCCTTGGGTGGAAATGCTTCTCCGAGTCATCCCTACACAGCCCCATGCTAACACACAGGCCTTGTCTCAGTAAAAGGTCAGGTCTGCCTGTCCTGTGACTCCAGTGTCTGTGAGTCAGGACCAACAGGCTCGAGGGCTCCCCACCCGGGGACAGCGCGCCCCACACCGGCAGAGGCAGCCGGGAGATGGGTGCATGCCTTCACCCACTCCCAACACACAGTTATGCCGTTCCAATTTCTCTGGAGCAGTTTAAGTCAGGAAGATTTTAGCCCTAAAGTATAAGAGATTTCTCCTGTTGCTGTAACCAGGACGGGAAGCTAATAGGAGCAGCTGTTAGGTTACTAACAGTACGTCTATGAAGAGTTTGGCCATCACGCATGACAAAAATTTCTTGAGAGTTTGTCATGAGTCAGGCATTGTGCTAAACACTTACCATAAAGCCTGCCATGTCTCATAGTCATGTGTAGGTCATGTTTCATTTTTAAAGCACCCTGTAAGATGTGTATTAGTCCTACCATGAAAATAAGCCAGCCTAACTCAAGGCAATACTGATTGTGTCAGTTCAGCTATAAAACTGTGCCATTTAATGCCCATGTTCATCAGCAGCCCTTAGGGTGTCACCATCATAATGTCTTTCACGTGTACAAAAGCATGTGGTAATTTTTTTCTTGGATCTTGTGGGATTTTCTAAAGCTACTTCCATCTTTTCCACTTTCCCTTCGTTCCTCTTCTTCCTCCTCCTCCTCCTCTTCTTTTCTTCCTCTCCTTCTCCTCCTTCTTCTCCCTCCTCCTCTTCTTTTCTTCTTCTTCTCTTCCTTCTCCTCCTTCTCCTACTTCTCATTCTCATTCTCGTTCTCATTCTCCTTCTTCTAACAGATGTCATTTTTGTATTTGGGGGGAAACGCGTTATTCAAATCACCAAAAAAGCATAAAATGTGTAGTAACAAATTCATCCCACTGGATTTTCCAATCACTCTGTCTTCTGTTTGCAAGTTCTTGCTTGAGTCAAGAGGTTGTACTGGAAACTAATACACCATTCCCCTTTATTTAACTTCTGGAGTGTTGAATTTTATCATAGAAAGCAATGTCTTTCTCTGAATTGCCCTATTTCCTTTACTAAGTTAAAACCCATTGGATCATTAGTGTCTGTGGGAAATCTGGAAGCATTTTGTGCAGAAAAACACTAAATGTTTAAGACTTTCCCTTCCATGTGTTTATGTATTCCGTCTCTATATCTGTGCCCCTCACAAGTTTTACAAGTAATCTTGTTAGGAAGTCTTTTGGCGGCCTTTGTTTATTTAATGTATACTCTAGTCTGAAATCTGGGGTAGACTGGGATATTGGTGTGTAACACAGCTGTTCAGCCTGAGAGAAATTTCCTGGTATTCTAGTTTGCTCACCATCTACTGGGCAGGTGTTTAGCTTAGTTAGACACTGACATGCTGAACTCAGAAACCATTAGGAGTTTTGGGGAACTGGGTTAAGAATGTGAAAGCTCGCTTAAAACATTTGGAAGGATTAGGAAACTTTCCAAGTTAAATACTTTTCCCCCCCAGTGTTAGGGACTGAACTTGGTGCCTTGTGCATGGTAGGTAAGCACTTGGCCCTTAACTACATCCTCAGTCTTCAGTTTTTTTAAATTTTATTTTGAAATAAAGTCTCACTAAGTTTTCCAGAGTGGTTTAATGCCTGTGATTCTCCTGCCTCAGCCTTCTGAGTATCTGGGCTTATGGGCACACACTGTCAAACCCTGGTCAAATTAATTTCTCTCCAGTACAAAAAAATAGCTATGACTTGGAAAATCCTACATTATTTACCTATTCATAATACACTCATCCATCAAACATTTATGAAATAATCTATGTTCCAGACCCATGTTTGGAAGTGAAAAAAAAAAAAAAAAACAAGATTTAAACTAGGCATGGAGGTGCACGTCTGTAGTTCCAACACTTAGGAGACTGAGCCAGGAGGACTGGGGATTTGAGCCCAGTTCCAGCTACCTACCTAGTGAGACCCTGTCTCAAAACAAAGCAAAACAGCCACATGTGGTGGTGCAGACCTGTGATCCCAGCACGTGGGAGGCCGAGGCAGGAGGGTCGCTACAAGTTTGAGGCCAGCCTGGCTACAAAGTGAGTTCAAAGTCAGCCTGACATACATAATGAAACCTATCTCAAGAAAGACAACGACAAATCAAATCAAAGCACAAACAAACAAAACCACATGACTCAGGGTTCACTGTTCAGTAGAGGTAGATGAAGCTGTAATAATTAAGTGTAGATAAGTGTTATATTTCAGTAAGATGACA